ACACACACACACTCTCTCTCTCTCTCTCACTCTCACACACACACTGCTGCTTACTATCTGCTTACCTTGATCATTGGCCATCTTGTCAGGATGCTCAACTATAAAAAAGAAAGAAAGAAAGAAAGAGAGAGAAAGTCTGTCAGTGTGTTTCTGCCGCTGTGTAATTCCCTTCATCTTCATCTGTGAACGCTCAACATTAACAATCATAACTCTTCATAGTGCATCCTAACAGCTCACGCAGACGCAGTGAGAGTACAGAGAATCTGCACAAATACTGAATAGAAACTACATTTATACATGCGCAGTGCAAGTCACTAGGGTGCTCTAGGTGGTTGCCAGGGTGTTGCTATGCAGGTGCTATATGTTCTATATGCCCATACAGCCATTTTTACAGCATGTTCCATTTTTCTTCAAATGTAACACATGTGAATGCATTTTATTGGATTGAAATAAATGGAGGGCAAAATGTATTTTTAAACGATTTCAAAAAATACATTTAAAGTTTTTAAATATGATTTAAAAATGTCAAAAAAATAAATATTTTGAAACATATTTTAGCAAATGCATTTTTAGGACATTTTCTGTATATTTTGATATATATATATTTTTTTGCCGCATGGGTGGACCTGCTTCTCTCTCTCTCTCTCTCTCACTCTCACACACACACACACACACACTGCTGCTTACTATCTGCTTACCTTGATCATTGGCCATCTTGTCAGGATGCTCAACTATAAAAAAGAAAGAAAGAAAGAAAGAGAGAGAGAGAGAGAGAGAGAAAGTCTGTCAGTGTGTTTCTGCCGCTGTGTAATTCCCTTCATCTTCATCTGTGAACGCTCAACATTAACAATCATAACTCCTCATAGTGCATCCTAACAGCTCACGCAGACGCAGTGACAGTACAGAGAATCTGCACAAATACTGAATAGAAACTACATTTATACATGCGCAGTGCAAGTCACTAGGGTGCTCTAGGTGGTTGCCAGGATGTTGCTATGCAGGTGCTATATGTTCTATATGCCCATACAGCCATTTTTACAGCATGTTCCATTTTTCTTCAAATGTGACACATGTGAATGCATTTTATTGGATTGAAATAAATGGAGGGCAAAATGTATTTTTAAACGATTTCAAAAAATAATTTTAAAGTTTTTAAATATGATTTAAAAATGTCAAAAAAATAAATATTTTGAAACATATTTTAGCAAATGCATTTTTAGGACATTTTCTGTATATTTTGATATATATATTTTTTTTTGCCGCATGGGTGGACCTGCTTCAGTGTGCATCTGTGGGATTTTTATGTGAAAATGGTGCATCTGAAGCACTAGTGATGATTGACTGATAAAACTCAACCGCCTAAACACAATGCAATGAACGTCCCGAAGGGTACAGAGCAATAAAATGACTCCAGCACTTCATGTTTATCAGATGATTCATCAAACTTAATTAAACACGGCCACATGCTGCCATGAAGATTTCACTGATGAACCCAATCAAAGACACATTATCAGTGATCAGCTCCGTTAGCTGATGATATCTGGCTGAATAACAGACGTGTCAAACACAAGCCCTGGACTAAATCTACCGACTGCCTTAATAAGGGATAAATAATTGCTTTTCAAATAGTTTCAGTGAATTATTAAAGCAAGCAGCTCCATTTGGTTATCCATCTCTCATTGATGAAATAAATACTTGGATGACCCAAAATTTCCTCAGACTGAATACTGAAAAAACAAATGTCCTCCTGAAGTTACATCTCATATCACTCCTATTCTATCATTACAAGATCTCAAAGTCCACTTTTAAGCATCTCTGCTCACCTCATGTTTGTCTGATCTGTTTCAGGTTCATGCATCTGCGTGTCATGCATGTTATGCATATCTGTGCTTATGCTTACTGTTACGCTTCTTCTGACTGACTATTGTAATCAATCTTGCTTTGTTTCATGTTTGTGTTCTTTTATTCTGCTTCATGCTTGTGTTTTCCCCTTCTGCGCACATCCACGAGTGTTATGCTGCTTGATATTTTCCTTTGTCTTCCTATTTTAAAGTGTTTTATTACTATTTTGAATGAGCTTTTATTTTTTATATTTTCACAATTCAGTTTAATTTTAGTTACATTTTTAATCATTTCGCTTTGTGCTTTTGTGATTTTAACGATAGTTTTTTTGTTCTTTTTAATGATTACTATTTGTTTTTATTACAGTTTTAATTTTAGTTTTAGTGTTTTAATGTCTGGTTAATAATTTTAGTGCTTCAAATTACATTTATTTCCAGTAGTTGCCAAGGCAACATTTCTAATTTTCTTTTCGTTGGAGTTTTACATGTTATGTTTATATTTTATTTTCAATAAGCTTTTATCTTTTTATATTTTCACATTTCAGTTTAATTTTAGTTTATTTTTTCGCAATATGCTTTTGTCATTTTCATTCGTTTTGGTTCTATTTATAAATTAATTTTAATTTCAGTTTTAATTTTAGATTTAGTTTTTATTAATTTCCAGTTATAATTTTAGTGATTCGATTTAAATTTATTCCCGTTACTTTGACAAAGCAACAATTCTAATTTTCTTATAGTTGAAGTTCCCTTTCAGTCAGTCCCTCTCGACGTCACGTCGGATGACCGACGAATTGGGATCTCGCTTAGAGGGACCAATCTACTTCGAGTGTAAACTAAACGAGCCAATGCACATTGGCATGCGATTATTGCATCCAGCTGCTGCTGATCACAGCGTGAGTATAAGTAGGCAGCAGATGCAGCGCATATTCAGCTTTTCGCTTCAGAGCCGAGCGGTTCTATCGTTCTGCTCCTGACCTTCCTACAGTAGTGAGAAAACTTCAGTCAAGCACGCTCTTCGGTGGGCTCTCGTGCTGGTGGATGGCGCTTCAGCGGCGGTGGTTTTCCTGTGTCGAGTGGGTTGTACACAACAGGCTGCACTACCCCTGTGTGTGTTGCATACGGCCATCTCCCCTGTGCGCTTCAGCACACTAAAAGCAATTTCTATTCTAAAAGAGCTTCACGGGTGGAACGTCTTTTTAAAGATGCGTCTTTTTAAAGATGTCATACCATCCATGTGTTTCTGGGTGCGGCCGTTACCTGGCGCCGGGTGATGGTCACGAACGCTGCCTCTCGTGTCTGGGCATGAAGCACGCTGAGGTGGCTTTCGTGGATGACTCATGCTCCCATTGCGGGGGTATGACCATCTC